TTGCTACCTTAGGGTCCGTGAAATACCGCTGCAGACGAAGAGTGATCGGAAAGTACCACACCACTTTTCGAGGAGCTTTCTTCCTCTTCTTGTATCGAGTGACGCTGCACATCGGACATATGGTAGACTCCGCGTGCTCGTCCCGATAAATGATGCAATTGTTCATGCATACATGGTATTTCACGTGCGGTAAATCCAGAGGACACACGATTTTCTTCGCCTCCTCCAAACTGGTCGGGCACTTGTTCCCCTTGGGAAGACGTTCGTGCCAGAATGACATGTTCTCGTCGAAGCATGCGTCGGTCATTTTGTGTTTTACCTTCATCTCCAGAGCCATGAGCGTTACTTTCAGGCGGGTATCCTCGGGCCTGCATCCTTCATACAATGGAGTAACCACGTCTAACTCAAGTTGATCCATCTTGGCTTTCTCTCGGGCGGCAGCTCTTGCGTTATCCGTCTGCTTGAGAAGCAGCTCTTGAATATGAGGGTCCTGCACCCAACCCATCGATGGTACAGCATCGTCTGCTCCGCCGGCATCATCATCTTCATGATCATGCCCGTCGTCTGCTCCGGCATCTTCCTCATCATCATGTCCTGCATCTTCTACATGATGACTGTGTACAGCATCACCGTCGTGATCATCTCCTGGAGATTCTTCGTCTTCTCGCCCGCCCGAGCCGCGGTGGTTGTCTTGCTGCCCTTCCTCATTTCTTGCCCGGCCCCCATGGACGACTTCGTAGTCATCTTCATCACCTTGCCACCGATAGCCATCCATGAAACCACGCAAGAGCAGGTGGTCCCGCACCTACCCGGATTCCGGGTCCGCAATAAGGCTCTTCAGCTTGCATCTTCGACACGGACATCTTATCTCCGTCTCGTTCTTTTGAAGCATCTCGGCCTTAGCGGACCTCAAAAACCTATTCACGATGTCTTCGGTCATCATGCGGACCATGGTCGCCTGCGGGGTAGAGCAAAACGATATTTTAGAACCAAAAAAAAATTGGCATGACTTTCCCTAAAAATAGGACCAAAAAGAATGCTTAATGCCAAAATTCTCGCCGAAACGGAAATGAATCAACATTCCGGCAAAATATTGGCAACTATCGAATTTCAAATACCGGTACACCTCCAAACACAAACACATATGCAACACCACAAACATATGCAACACCACGAACATACATAGATCTAGCTAGGCCATAAAAAGTGCATGTGCACATTGTTGTAGGGAGAACAACATAAATATAGCTTCCCCTTACTTACCTATCAAAACAAGGTAATTTAACCACTTAAATTGAATGAATCTATGGTGAAAATGAGGTGAAAAAGAGGAGACACCCGAGACAAGGAGGAGGTGGAGAGAATAAAGTGGGAAGAAAGTGAGTGTGGGTAGGAGAGGCTGTCCAAAATATCTTGTTGCTGCCCACTTACTAATGGCGCACCAACTCTAAATGCGCCATTAGTAATCCAGGTTACTAATGGCGCACCTCCTGGTGGTGCGTCATTAGTAGTTTTGCAAAAAAAAATACTAATGGCGCAATATCCCACAATGCGCCATTACTAGTTTAAACTAGTAATGGCGCACGGTGGAACAGTGCGCCATTAGTAGTTTTGCAAAAAAGGGAATAAAAAATATAATAAAAAAACAACATTAGTGGCGCACTTTCCGGCAGGTGCGCCATTACTAGCTACAACTAGTAATGGTGCACTGTGTCTGGATGCGCCATTAGTATGTTTGGACAGGCGCACTAGTTAAAAAAAATTGATACTAATGGCGCACCCGGGGCCAGGTGCGCCATTAGTAGTTTCAACTCTAATGGCGTATCAGAAGGTGGTGCGCCATTAGTATATACTAATGGCGCACCGCTTGTCTGATGCGCCATTAGTGTCAATCCCATCTATAGCCCTTTTTCTAGTAGTGGTCGAGGGGACCTAAAAACCCGGACGGGGATAGTATGCGTCAATTAGTCAGTAATAGCATGTCAACGAATGAGTTCTTATCAAGTGCCCTATAGTCAGTGTGATAGATAACTATTTCGTTAGAAGATAAATATATGAAATGATGATTTAGCATGTGATAACACATGGGCATGTCCTAAGGAAATTACATATGTGAGAATAAAGTCAAGCAAGAAAACCAATTGAGATTCTAATCAACCAAGAAAACTAATTGATCCTCTGATCGACCAAGAGAGACTTGACCTAATTGCAACATTCAAACTGCTAATCCTACTAATGTATATAGCATTGAGCAAACTCAAAATCTCGGGATATGACACACATTGCCATTGCTCTGAGCTAGGGATGCAAATTGATGGCCCATAGGGCACCTCCACCTTGTGACCCTATCTAGCTAGTTCATTCAAATGAACTAAAAAAAATCCAAAAGCGCAACTTGGCTTATGTTGATAAAAGATGGTTCAGTGTATGACATAAATATGCGCAAAATACACACCAATTACCTGCTGATGTTAACATAGCGAGCCAAATTGTTTTGAGAGGATAAATAAAGAACCAGAAGCATGACAAAAGTACTCAAGGATTAAAAATCAAGCAACGAAAATCAAAAGCAAGAACCTAGAGAATGAATAGGGTAAAGAAAGTTATTTCATCACACAGGACAAAATCCGGATATGTGCGTCCATATTGCAACATCATTAGGGCACCACTATGAAGCCAGACCGATCTTCATCGCTGCAATTTTCTTTTTCTAATTTCAAAGTTTGACACAACTTTGTTATTGGTTTTATTTTCATTTTGTTGTATCAATATTTTTCGTATAATAAATTATCAAACCGAATGCATTTAAGCGTGTTAGGTTGTATACACTACTTCTACGTCATCATTCATCTCACAAGGTTATAGTGATTCCTCCGACAAGACCCTAGCATCTATGTCGTCATCCCTTTGTTTCGCCTTCATCCCTACTTTTTAATCAGCATGATGGTTAAACATGTGTTAAGACCCTCGTCTCTGCATTCGCATCATGGCACATAAGAAGGCGTATAAGTCTCAGTGAAGTAATTTAACGTGACACAGACACAACACCGTGGTGGGCCATCCAACAGACCCATAGAGCAAATGATTAAAGTGGAAGAGACGGTGAGCTCTAGTTGTGCGATGATGGGTCATCCCTTCTCACGATTTTATACTAAATACTTTTATTTTGTGATAACTTAATTTGTTAAAAATACATGTCATTTTGTGTTCATACACCCTTCAACATACTATTTTAAATGGTATTTTCAAGTTTAACCAACAAAAATAACATTGCAATCTAGAACATACTCCCTTCATTCCTAAATATAAGTATTTTTAGGAATGGAGGCAGTATATATTAAGGTTTAATTCAGTTAACATTGTTTCATCTTCTTAATTTAGTTTGCCATATAGAAGAAAATCTTCCGTTGCCAAATTTATATCTAAGAAAGCCAAAATAATCAAGTTGCCCTCATAGGTTATGCACTTATATGTGTGATTTATCTACAAAGTTCTTAAAATATACACGACTTTTTTAAGTCAAATATCTACAGTTGTAGAGATTGTTATAATTTATGAATTTAACAAATGATTTTGAGAGGTTTCTAGAGTATAAGGTATCAAGTTTAGGCGTGATATTTAAAGCCTCCTTCACACTTTAGAGCTAGACCCGGCATTACGAGAGGTGTGTAGTCCGGGTAGATTTGGCGGTACAATCCTATAGAACAAGTCATGTTCAAGTAAGGTTGTAGTCCTGGTAGATTCTTTGCAACTGCATTGAGCTTATATCTCCACTGTAACCTCCATATGCACATTGCCCATCTTCTATGAAAAATATGTCACGGTAGAGGATTTCACTACTCCTTTTGTCTTCCCAAAAAAAGTTTATGTGCAAAAGAGACAATTTTATATGACCAGGTCACAACAGACTGTTTCTCCCAAATCTCCGTACTTGGTGTAGGGACCATATTGTTTTAGCATGCATTATTATTCAGAATACGAATTGTGTATGTTGTAATGTTGCTTGTTTGATATATATTTTAATTACACAAACAAGTAGTGTAAAGATGGTTGGAATCGGGTTGCGCGATCGCGATCTGAACTGTACTATCGTGATCGACTATGGAGATAAGAGTGACAGGGACTGATGTGCATGTGCATGAGTGTGCATCGATAAATTCTAGTAGTACAGTATTTCAAGGATGGCATGAGCACGTGCTTGGATATTTTACCTGCGCAAGGTCGAGTGTCAGGATGTTGGATTTTGAAGATTGCCAACCACATATTCCATGCGGCCAGTCAATTGAACTATCAATTGAGGTAATATTCTTCCTTCATTTGGCTGGCCTCCTCCAAGTAGCCTGTCGTCCGCACTCCATGGATGCCCACGTGACAATATTCTCGGACAAACGGAGGATTCAGATCAGAGATGGCCAAGCGGATTTATGTCGATGAGATATATGGTGAACCACAAACCCTGTGAATCCAATTTCCATGCAAGACTTCCAATGTCCACAAAAAAGAGATGGACATTTTGTCCACTACTTCCTCTGTTCCTAAATATAAGTCTTTTCAAAGACTCCACTACGGACTACACTCTAAAATATCTCTATATACATTCATATTGTAGTTTGTATTGAAATCCCTAGAAAGACTTGTATTCAGAAACCGAGGGAGTAGTTTGCATGGAATTCGGGGAATTCGTCCATGGCAACAAAGAAGATGGAGGCTTGACCTGAAGAAGTCAATGAACTATGGCGGTGTCCATGAAAACAGAAATGCTTATAGTCGGGTCAGGTTGTTCTTCTACACTTTGTGTCAACTGTGAATGAAGTATGCTGATAGCATAAAGCCGCAAAAGAATGTTTCATCTCAAACTAGTTTCTTCATATATTTCTTTCATTCATTCAATCATTCACATAGGCTGCCTGCTATAGGTGTGTACAAAATGACTAATGTACAAAATCACCTCTTCATCAGGACGCCGCCATCAGAAGTGGGGCGGCGGCTGATCCTTCCGCTCATCCAAACGAACATACTTTCTCTGGAAGACGATAACACAGATAGAGCGTTAGTGACAAGCAAACAAACAAACATGTCGTAATTTCCCAAGGAAAACATTTTAGCAATGAACGTCTACCTTGTACTGCACTGAGGCAACAAAGACGGTCGTCATCAACGTAGGTGGCATTAAGCCCCATCATCCATGAACCAACTGATATGTCATCATGCGCATAGCTCTGCAGCGATGCACTGCATATTGACAACAATAAAAGAGTTAACCGAATCGGAGCTTGGAAGTAGGAACCCTGGTTTGTTGGAAGTACAAAGACCCAAAAATGATGGGTTTTGGTCTTTAAGCACGTAGCAATTGCTAGTAGCATCTATCGCACAACTGTTAAGAATGGAATGCCAAACATAATTATAGTATCTTAAAAGAAATTGTTTTATATGTGTCAGTTAGCCAGTAATAGCATGTCAACGAATGTGTTCTTCTCAAATGCCTATAGTCAGTGAGATAAATGATTATTTCGTTAAAAGCTAAATATATCAAGATGATGGATTAACACGTGATAGCACATGGGGATGTCCTAAGGAAATTACATATGTGAGAATAAAATAACCAAGAAAACCAAGTGAGCTTCTGATCAACCAAGAAAACCAAATGAGCTTTTGATCGACCAAGAAAGACTTGACCTAGCTGCAACATTCAAACTGCTGATCCTGCTAATGTATATAACATTGAGACGTGGGGACCGGATTATCTTGGTCAAGCTGGTAGTTGAGGACTTGGTTCTCAATGTTATCAGCGTGTATGCCCCGCAAGTAGGCCACAATGAGAACACCAAGAGGGAGTTCTGGGAAGGCCTGGAAGACATGGTTAGGAGTGTACCGATTGGTGAGAAGCTCTTCATAGGAGGAGACCTCAATGGCCACGTGGGTACATCTAACACAGGTTTTGAAGGGGCGCATGGGGGCTTTGGCCATGGCATCAGGAATCAAGAAGGAGAAGATGTCTTAAGCTTTGCTCTAGCCTACAACATGATTGTAGCTAACACCCTCTTTAGAAAGAGAGAATCACATCTGGTGACTTTTAGTAGTGGCCAACACTCTAGCCAGATTGATTTCATCCTCTCGAGAAGAGAAGATAGGCGTGCGTGCCTAGACTGTAAGGTGATACCTGGAGAGAGTGTTGTACCCCAGCATAAGCTGGTGGTTGCTGACTTCCGCTTTCGGATTCGTGTCCAGCGGGATAAGCGTGCCAAAGTCGCTAGAACGAAGTGGTGGAAGCTCAAGGGGGAGGTAGCTCAGGTATTCAAGGAGAGGGTCATTAAGGAGGGCCCTTGGGAGGAAGGAGGGGATGCGGACAATGTGTGGATGAAGATGGCGACTTGCATTCGTAAGGTGGCCTCGGAGGAGTTTGGAGTGTCCAGGGAAAGGAGAAGCGAAGATAAGGATACCTGGTGGTGGAATGATGACGTCCAGAAGGCGATTAAAGAGAAGAAAGATTGCTTCAGACGCCTATACCTGGATAGGAGTGCAGACAACATAGAGAAGTACAAGATGGCGAAGAAGGCCGCAAAGCGAGCTGTTGGTGAAGCAAGGGGTCGGGCATATGAGGACCTCTACCAACGGTTAGGCACGAAGGAAGGTGAAAGGGACATCTATAAGATGGCCAAGATCCAAGAGAGGAAGACGAGGGACATTGGCCAAGTCAAATGCATCAAGGATGGAGCAAGCCAACTCTTGGTGAAGGACGAGGAGATTAAGCATAGATGGCGGGAGTACTTCGGCAAGCTGTTCAATGGGGAGAATGAGAGTTCTACCATTGAACTAGACGACTCCTTTGATGAGACCAGCATGCGTTTTGTGCGGCGAATCCAGGAGTCTGAGGTGAAGGAGGCTTTAAAAAGGATGAAAGGAGGCAAGGCGATGGGCCATGATTGTATCCCCATTGAGGTGTGGAAAGGTCTCAGGGACATAGCAATAGTATGGCTAACCAAGCTTTTCAACCTCATTTTTCGGGCAAACAAGATGCCAGAAGAATGGAGACAGAGTATATTAGTACCAATCTTCAAGAACAAGGGGGATGTTCAGAGTTGTACTAATTACCGTGGAATTAAGCTGATGAGCCATACAATGAAGCTATGGGAGAGAGTCATTGAGCACCGCTTAAGAAGAATGACAAGCGTGACCAAAAATCAGTTTGGTTTCATGCCTGGGAGGTCGACCATGGAAGCCATTTTCTTGGTACGACAACTTATGGAGAGATATAGGGAGCAAAAGAAGGACTTGCATATGGTGTTCATTGACTTGGAGAAGGCCTATGATAAGATACCGCGGAATGTCATGTGGTGGGCCTTGGAGAAACACAAAGTCCCAGCAAAGTACATTACCCTCATCAAGGACATGTACGATAATGTTGTGACAAGTGTTCGAACAAGTGATGTCGACACCGATGACTTCCCGATTAAGATAGGACTGCATCAGGGGTCAGCTTTGAGCCCTTATCTTTTTGCATTGGTGATGGATGAGGTCACAAGGGATATACAAGGAGATATCCCATGGTGTATGCTCTTTGCGGATGATGTGGTGCTAGTTGACGATAGTCGGACGGGGGTAAATAGGAAGTTAGAGTTATGGAGACAAACCTTGGAATCGAAAGGGTTTAGGCTTAGTAGAACTAAAACCGAGTACATGATGTGCGGTTTCAGTACTACTAAGTGTGAGGAGGAGGAGGTTAGCCTTGATGGGATCCGGCTTGCCTGCTCCCTCGCCATGCTCCCATCCGTGCTCCCACTCCATCCTACGGCTGTCTTTTTCTCCTTTTTCTTTCTAATCTAATCATCTCCCCCCCTGATTTTAAGGGGGTGGGGCCGGGCCTTATTTTGTTCCAATTAAATCATGCCACGTATGCGGGAGCACGGATGGGAGCACGCTGGGGGAGCAGGCAAGTCTCGTCTGCCTTGATGGCCAGGTGGTACCTCGGAAGGACACCTTTCGGTATTTGGGGTCAATGTTGCAGGAGGATGGGGGTATTGATGAAGATGTGAACCATCGAATCAAAGCCGGATGGATGAAGTGGCGCCAAGCTTCTGGCATTCTCTGTGACAAGAGAGTGCCACAAAAGCTAAAAGGCAAGTTCTACAGGACGGCGGTTCGACCCGCAGTGTTGTATGGCGCGGAGTGTTGGCCGACTAAAAGGCGACATGTTCAACAGTTAGGTGTGGCGGAGATGCGTATGTTGAGATGGATGTGTGGCCACACGAGGAAGGATCGAGTCCGGAATGATGATATACGAGATAGAGTTGGGGTAGCACCAATTGAGGAGAAGCTTGTCCAACATCGTCTGAGATGGTTTGGGCATATTCAGCGCAGGCCTCCAGAAGCTCCAGTGCATAGCGGACGGCTAAAGCGTGCGGAGAATGTCAAGAGAGGGCGGGGTAGACCGAATTTGACATGGGAGGAGTCCGTTAAGAGAGACCTGAAGGATTGGCGTATCACCAAAGAGCTAGCTATGGACAGGGGTGCGTGGAAGCTTGCTATCCATGTGCCAGAGCCATGAGTTGGTTGCGAGATCTTATGGGTTTCACCTCTAGCCTACCCCAACTTGTTTGGGACTAAAGGCTTTGTTGTTGTTGTTGTTGTTGTAAACTCAAAATCTCAGGAGACGACACACACTGCCAATGCTCTGAGCTATGGATGCAAATTGATGGCCCATAAGGTACCCTCTGACCCTATCTAGTTCAATCAAATGAACTAAAAATTCTAAAAGAGCAACATGGTTGGTGTTGATAAAAATGGTTCAGCGTAGGATTAAATATAAATAAAATACACACCAATTACCTGTTTATGTTGATGTAGCGAGCCAAATTGTTTGAGAGGATAAATAAAGAACCAGCAGCATGGCGAAAATACCTGAGATTAAAAATCAAGCAATGAAAAGCAAGAACCTAGAGAATGAAGATACTAAAGAAGGTTATTGCATCAGGCAGAAAGGAATTTAAAGGCTAAGCATGTCCAATTACTAAAAATAACAAGCATATAATTGAATCTCGGCAATTACAACTTACAAGCACATGACGCAAAATGAACTGCAACTTAATGTCCGTTACAGGTCTATTCAGTTTAAATATGTGGCAGAATAGAATCCACAAGATCAGCGAGACCTAGTCCCAGCACACAGTACAAAAAAATACTAGCATTATTTCATCTAGACATTATTTCAGCCAGTTGAAATGCTTTAGGTCTGTATGCGCATTACACTCAGTCATCCAGATCCTCAGGGATAAAATGAGGTCAGATTTTTCTGATCAACATTCACACTCCAAGTTTCTGAATTTAGGCACAGAGTTATTAATATCATCTAACATTATGCTACTAAGACGCAGGTAGGCTAACTTCCAAATGGCAAGAACCAGGCATAAACTGCACAAAAAAGAGCTGATTAGACACATATGAACATGCCAGGCTACTTACGTCCTTGAATCTCCAAATTTCCACCATTCAGGTTCATACCATTGTTGCTCCCTGAAATTGAAATTGACATCAATACTTTCTGACTGATTGATTAACCAAAGCACAAAAGAACGCTACATTCAAACTACAATATCGCTCAGATGTAAGCATGAAGGCGGTGCAATTATGAATGTACTGCACACTTTATCTTCAAGTCATGTAATAGGAGCACCTATGAACTATGGTTACTAGATGTCCCTTGATTAGGAAGGGTGTCAGCATGGAAGGATCAATCCAGAATTAAACCCCAAAAGTAGAAGCTGCTTCCACTCATGAATGGATGGTCTAATTGGAGTTAAATAGATGGTCTGAATACAAAATGATGATGATGATAATAGGTAGGAAAGCACATACTCTTCACTAACGACAGCTCCTGATTTCATGCAGCCCATGTACAACCCAGGGCTACCTCGACGGATGTTAAGCATCTCAATTAACCCAGCTAATGGACAATAGCAAGGAGTCAGGGGAAAGAGAAGCTGGGATCAATTGATCAGAAATAGGGAAAAACAGTTTTACAGACAAAAACTGAAATTTAAAATTACCCAAGTCAAGATTAATGTTATCGTCAATCTTGACGTAGAACTCTGCATCCCAAGCTTCTATTGCTGCACTGAAGAAAAACTTAACTTTTTTAGGTAATTCCTCTGCAGCCTCCTCGTGACTTTCCTGAATGGTCATTGATTGGCTTAGAACAAGGTGCATTAATTCCAAGGTTTGACAAACGAAAATCGCAAAAAAAAAACGCTTTAGTGATCCTCTCAAGCTATATGAATTTCATTGTTACTGCAGGATCATCAATGAATGAAATGCAAATGATTCTCGAGGATGCAATGTAGTCTTTCATGCTATCAAGGTAAAATTCTTATGCACGTCGTACCACAAATAGTGAAGTTCTGAAGGTAAATTGAGAAGAGACATTATATTAGATATTAAGTTATTAACCAAGCCTTACCAGAATCAAGAAATCGTTTGTCTTTCTGTTCTCTTCATTAATATTACGGTCCAAGCTATCACCTCGATTAGGACTGCAGTGTCCAAAAGGTAAATTTCAGCCAGAGGACATGGATGGATTCTAACTAATATCTTAGCACAACTGAAAGGTATAGTCGAAGAACAAAACCTTCGGCCAATAACAAAACGAATAACCACACCCTTTTCCTCAAGCGTCTTTAAAGCATCACCTGAAATTTACAGTGAGGTAGAAGAACAGAGTTATTCTATGAGTGAAGGGGATCCTGGTTTATGTTCAGCAATTAGAATTAGAAAGCCAAAATTAGGCAGCCTTAGTTTAATCGACTGTAGTTACGTTACAAAAAATGTAAGTTTGGTCATTTGGTAACTACCATCAACCTACAGTCCCAAAGCAGTGCAGTTCCAATCACAGTTGTTCTCTTCAACTAGTCAGTGTGTTATGATCAACTGGTCACTGCTATCCTATGAGTGAATGGGGTCCTGGTTTATGTTCAGCAATTATAATTAGAAAGCCAAAAACTAAATTAGAGACCTAGTTTAGTTTATGTTCATCAATTTTGGTTACGTCACGAAAAATATAAGCTGGGTCATTTACCACTACTATCAACCTGCTGTGTCAAATGACAGTTATTCTCTTCAGCTAGTCAGTGTTCTGTGTTCAACTGGTCAGCGCCATCAGGGGTGGGTTTATTTTGTCAGTGAGAAGAGTAGTACAAAATGAACAAGAAGAGCAAACCTCTGGGCATCCAGGAGCCACGGAAGGTGTTCCTCTTGAGCCGGGAGCCAAAGCCAGTGTAAACTCCAATGACCGCAAGGAACTTCTTCCTGCCGGAACCCTCAGTACCAGTACCACCAGTCCCGTTCCCCCACAAGTAGCCCTCGCTCTTCGCCTTGGCAATGTCCATCTCCGCCTCGGCGATCTTCCTCCCAATCCCACTGCCACCAAACAACCCATTTCGAATCAACAAACCGGACGAAGCCATACCAGAAAATCTCAGTAGAGAACCGAGAAATTACGTGCATCCGAGGTCCCTCAGCTTGTCGTCCACCGAGATCTCCTTGGGGAGCTGCGATTAAGCGCGGCCGTCAGGGGGAAAATCGAGAAGATAAAAACGAGAGGTGGGCGGGGAGAGGAGGGGGGGAGGAGAGATCCGCACATTGCTGGTGCTCTTCTGCAGGAGGCCGGAGAGGACCGCCCGGGTCTGCGCGTCCTGCCATAGCCTGCGGGCGAATCGAGGGGGGATCAGAGCTGGTGGGCGGAGGGGAGATCTGGGGAGGACGGGGAGGGGGAGGGCGCGAGCGTACCGGCCGGCGACGTACACCCAGGCGAGGCAGGCGAGGAAGGCCATGACGAGGGGGGCCCTGCCGGCGGAGGCGGAGGCGGCGGCGGCGGCGGAGGAGGGCGGGGGCTTGAAGCGGCGGTTGTCCCGCCGCATGACGCTCGCCAGTGTCTCCATGGCGGCGATCTCCTCCGACGGCTCCGACCGAGCCCACCTGAAAAGCGCACCCTGTTTTGCTTTGCCGATGGGGCAAAAATTGAAATACGTACAGAAAACTGAAGGGCAACTTATTACCATCACGATGGACGGCAGAAGACCAAAGCCGGGCCAGGCCTGCCTGCGGCTGGCCCGACTATGCGCAATCCGAAAGGAAAAACCGAGACCCATTATTTAGACCATCTCAGCAGCTTTTTTTTCATGAATACGCAAAGATTTTACTTATCTTTTCATTAATTGAAAATCTTACATAATGTGATTTTTCTCACCGAGCCATGTGCACATGAAGGCATGGTAGTGAGCACGGAGCGGGATGATGATCCCGGTGGCACAGGCCTTGGCCCATAGCGCTCTCCTAATAAACGCACGTATAGTGCAGTGGCGAAGCCACATTTTGTCTGTGTATAGTAGTTTGACTACACAGGAATTTAGGTCAAGACTTCTATGTGTGTACACCATCGCTCAACATTGCAAATTCTGAAAATTGAATACAAAGACCCACTTGTCATATATTTGGGCCTCACGAGGCTGACTTAGCGAGGTGGGCCTCACGAGATGGCCCCGCAAGCCGGCCTAGCCCGACACGCGACAAAACGGGCCGTGTCTGGCACATGGCACGCCATGTGTCATGCTCGTCCGTCGAGGTGAGGTCTGCAGGCCGGCATGACATGACCCGTCTATGTTTCTTTTTTACAAAGTTATTGGCTCAAAAGAAGAAAAAAAAAAGATTCCAAAACAGATTTTTTAGAAGTGACCCCAAAAACAGGAGAGCAACTAGTTAACGAGCGCTCTTTCGGGAGTCCCGAGACGATCAACGTCACTTGACGTGCTCTCAGTCATTCGCCACGTGTCGCGCTCTGGGCGCTCTCTTCGTGTTTTTTTATTTTTTCGCACGCGTTTTCGGCTTTTTTAACTCTTTTTTTTTATGTTTTGGTTTTTCACCGGTATTCTTTAGCTTTTCGATAAAAAAAATGTTTGATTTTTCTTTTTGTGAAAAAACGCATTTTTTTCCTTTGGTGAGAGTAATGGTTTTGCTTCCGCGAGAGGCACGATTTTGCTTTCGTGAGAGTCACGACCGTGCCTCTTGAAAATGGAAAAACAACGTGTTTTCTGTTTTTTTTCCTTTCGTGAGAGTCACAGTTTTGCTTCCACGAGAGGCACGATTTTGCTTTCGCGAGAGTCACAGCCGTGCCTCTTGAAAACGAAAAAAAATGCGTTTTCTGTATTTTTTCCTTTCGCGAGAGTCATGGTTTTGCTTTCGCGAGAGGCACGGCTGTGCTTTATCGAAAGTCACGTCCGCGCCTCTCGGAAACGAAAAAAATACGTTTTCTGTTTTTTTTCTTTCACGGGAGTCATGGTTTTGCTTTCACGAGAGTCAAGGTTGTGCTTTCGCGAGAGTCACGGCCTCCTGGAAACAAAAAAAAACCGTTTTTCTTGTTGTTTTTTTTTTTGCGAGAGTCTCGATTCAGGTCATACATATTACGAATGGCTGCTGTTGAGATGAGCTCGCCCCATGTTCCGGCCTCCGATGAGGATTCTGTTTATTGGGTGTTTGATGACCATGAGGATGGCATACTCAGATTTGATTTAGATAGGCACAGCCTTGCTAATATCGAGATGCCGGATTTGAGGTATTATTGGCGCCCGAACAGCTTTAAGATCTTGCGGGCAGGTGATGACAGTGTTGCCTTGCTATTTTGGAATACCAAAAATTCCAAATGTGGGAGAGGAAGGTTGGTTCTGATGGTGTTGCCGGATGGATGCTGCAGAAGACCTTTCAGATGAACACGATCCTTGGTTTGGGGCCTATGGGAGGAAGGGATAATCTGATGTTGGGGTATGATGAAGATGATCATGAAATTTATGTAAGGCTAGATATTGGTGTCTGCATCATCCAACTTGAGACAATGCAGTTCAGGAATCTTGGCAAAGATAATTTCACGACCACCGAATATTATCCCTACAGAAGTTTCTGCACTGCAGGTATTTCATTCTACATTTCCCGGAAACACTATCATGGAATCACCAAATATTGTTTGCACTTGGTTGCTGGAATACCTCTATTTTGGCAAATAAGTGTTTGTTAACTGATTAACTTTACTTTATCGTGGCACTTAAATATTGTCATCTATGGAGAGAGAAAGTAGTTTTAAGTAATTTATTCTATGACCTTGTACATAAAACCATTACAGAATCTGGCAAAATCGTTAAAATACATACAAAGCTTATTGCTTTCTTTCTATACATACATTATACAGTGGTTGCGTCCATTTGTATGTAGCAATATTACATATCTTTTGAGGATGGGCTGCATATGACAGATGTAAATTTGCAAAATATACAACCTAAAATTAAGTTTAAACTCTGATGGTCTGATACTTCAAATAAGCAATTTAGTGGGCTGTTTGGCCCGTTTCGAAGCATAAAGCTGGTAATATTGTTCATTCAATTTGTTTCTATGATATAGTGCTAATCTCTAGAAATCTTGCTATTGATCATACATCTGTAATACGAATAAACTTTTATGTAGTAATTAGGTCTCCTTTATCTTCTGTTGAAGAGACCTGCTGCAAGTCTAACTGTAATCCTTTCAGCGTTCATATTTTATTCTGACGTTGACCTTTTCAATTGTTCAATCTGGTCTGTTTCCTGTCATTATCCAAAGAGGCTCATGTATTTTTAATGGCATTTTCTGTTTCTCAGTTGTCCAATCTCGTGCGCCTTCTGTTATTTTCACATCTTTCATATCTTGTGGTGTTGGAATGTTCATTCTTCTGATAGACTACTGACTTAGTGTGTGTGAGTAAAAAACATTCCTAACCAGCCGGTTACTACTGGTTTTCGGCCATACCTGTTGGTAACATTTTTTTAATCTGGTGTTTGTGTTATTTTGAGCTAGTTTTTGTTATAATGCATAATACACAAACATTGATTAAATTTACTATTAGATGGGTTCACATCACATCCCATGACTCATGGCCTTACAATGACATACCGATAGTGTTTTTGTATCATATATGTACAAAACTTATCACTTATTCACAGTCAGACTCAAGACTTTGAGGTCTGAGTTCATCCTCTTGGCATCTTCTTGGTCTCCCTCCGTCGCTTCTTTTTCCATTTTCTCAGTCTGACATCAGTTTTCCCTGCTAATGAGTGACTTTTCAGTATGTGAAAGAAGAGTTGGTGGCATCCCCAGACTGCTGGCGAAGGATGTCAGCATCATGTTTCCTGCTTCAATGGGAGTAGGAGCGGCAGGAGACGCGAATGTTAACCACTTGTCCATGGGCTGATGACTCATGCCTTCTTGTCGTAAGTCTGTAGGGTTAGTTAAGTACTGCCTCATGAACTGTGCTTAGTTCTTCTGAGCCTTGGTTGTTTATGAACTTCTATCTGGTGATGTTGAGTTGGTGATGCACCATTTTGCTAGTTTCGTCAAGTTTGGTGAAAGGAACAGCTTTATTGTCAACTAAATACAATTAGGTATTCATAATTTCGTTTTTATTTTGATCTTCTTGCGGGTGATGAAGCTATTGGTTATTGCGCTTGTCTCGGTCACTTGATTGTTGCATGTCACTGGGCGCTGGCTGTGTGTGAATTATCATGTGAAATATTTGTTGTTACATCGTTTGGGAAGTCCTGGAATCTTGATAAATTCTGATTTAAGCTTCAAATTTATGTTCTTATCTTCTTTCAGTCCCAGTGTGTCTTCCTGTGCCGGAGATACCATATAAAAACTACGACAAAGTAATCATTTTTTGTATACAATGTCATTCGGTGTTCTCTCTTTCATTGTACGATATATATTATATAGATTGGAACAACTTGTTGCACAGAAGGGAAATGTCAACCGGCTAATGATATAACATTATCATGTAGAAGTTTTATAGGGCTAGCATAAATTGTGAGGGTTAAAAACATATCGGGTGTTTGCTTGCTGGTTTCTTTAATGGAAATCGGAGGGGAAACCCTCTTTTGCTCAAAAAAAAATGTAGAAGTTTTATTTGGATTTTATGTGAATAATATAGACAAATGGATAGTGGATTTATTTGAATAATAAATACACCCATCAATTTAATGTTGTGTTTACGCGTTCGGAATCATAGGCACATTTATCATTTTCCAAGCACCAGCTTTTGAGTTAAGGTTGTGCGAATAGCTGGAAACGTCTTGCCTGTTGAGGCCGACGGGTACGTGTTAATATAGGCGGGGCGCACCTCCCGTACAGCGCATACAAAGTAGTTTGGATACAGGAGATATTCAGGGAGAAGATAGAACTTGGAGAGAAAGAAACAACTCATGTATATCTATCCTAACTACCTCCAGGTGCGGGTCAAGGATGACACGCCAATATACGCCAATGTATACCGTACCAATATAACAGCATGTTTGACACCCTCTCTTAATCACAACTTCATCAAGTTGAGATTATGCTTGAAGTTTTCAAAGCTCTTTGTGGGCAGGGGCTTTGTGAATCCATCTGCAATTTGATCTTTGGAATGCACAAACCGGATGTCAAGTTGTCTTTGAGCAACTCTTTCTCTGACAAAATGAAAATCTATCTCTATATGCTTTGTTCTGGCATGGAACACAGGATTGGCAGAAAGATAAGTAGCACCAAGGTTATCACACCACAAGCATGGAGCTTGTTTGCCTTTTACACCAAGCTCTTTCAACATAGACTGAACCCATATGATTTCAGCTGTGGCATTTGCTAGTGCCTTGTATTCTGCCTCAGTGCTTGACCTAGAGACAGTAGCCTGCTTACGTGCACACCATGATATCAGATTAGGTTCAAAAAATACTGCAAAGCCTCTTGTGGAGCGCCTGTCATCCAGGCAGCCTGCCCAATCAGAGTCAGAGAAAGCACTGACAAGAGTAGAGGATGACTTGCTGAAATTCAGACCTACACTCAGAGTATGTTTAACATATCTAATGATACGCTTTGCAGCTGTCAAATG